GCGACCGTCCAGGCCCGGTTGACGGTGATTGATTGATCAGCTTGTTGAATCGTTGATCAGTGAATTTTTTTCCAAGCCGTTGCCATGTGAAACAGGAAGCTTTGACAGAATCTCTCAACCAGTGTCATTAAGTCATCAGCAGATGCTGCTGTGACTTGCTAGCCCTTTCTGCATTTAGCTTTGTTTGTTGTTTTTTTGCAGTCAGATGTTAAGCTAAGCTTTTCTTGAAATGCTTACAAGCTTAATGTCTTCAGCTCTGTCTGTAGTGTTAGTGTTTATATTAGTTTATAGCTTTTTATGTGTGGTTTTTTTAATATTTGTATGATATGTTGAGTGCTTTGGTCAGCTGTGCTGTGGTAAAGCGCTATATAAATAAAGTTGAGTTGAGTTGAGTTGAGCTCTGACTCCTTGACATCTCTGCTCATCCAGAACAGTTTACATTTGTACATGGTCTCTGTTGTAGGAAAACAAAAGGAATCTGTGATTATAATTTAAAAAAAAAGTTTAATTATGTAAACTGAGTTAAATTATTTAATTTTGGTTCGGTTCGGCTGCATTAATCCTATATAGCAGTGAACAAAAACAAGAAAAACACCACATACTGGAAAGATCACATCTTTGATAAATACATTAATGACTGAAATATGTACTATTAAATTGCAGAAGAGAGTTGGAGGTCAACAGTAAAATGACCTAATTTAGAACAAATTAGACTGTTCACTACCTAAACCCGTTTAGAGGCATCATCTTACTTTGACATGGTTCAAAGCACAATAGAAGAACATCTGAATGTTTTTAGTTTCATTCTACTCTTGGAGACATGATCACTTCTGTTGAATTATTTATTGTGTTTGATACAAAAGTGAGATTTGAGTTTTACTGTAATCTGGTGCAGCAGGTTTCAAGTTGTGAGGAAGCATTTCTGCACTATGAAAAGGCTAAAAAACATCCTGTCCCTCTTACTGAAAGCTGCTCTCCAGCATCTGCAATAACAGTATCAGGTTTTTCCAGTGCAGCAGTTGCTTTGACATAGATACGTTATCCACATTTAAATGTGGATACTTTAAGGCTCAGTCTGTTTCCTCTGTGTGAATAAGCCCTATTATCATCTTGTCAATTTCAGTTTCCTCCCTCTGCAGCCACTCAAACATACATCCGCAGATGCATACGTGCACACGAACACACTCTCAACACACACACACAGCTCATAACTCTACAGTGTCAATAGGTTTAAACTCGGCATGTCCAGCCTTTGGCTCTGTCACAGAGAGAGGAACCTGGGATTAATGAGTCAACCTCCACACTTACTGCAGGAGACAAAAGGGCTGGGAGTTAAGTGTCGACTCCTCCGTCAGCCCAGAGGTGTTGAAAGAGTGGATTGTGAAGGAGGAAGTTCTTCTGAGGGTTGAGTGGATGCTTATCTGCTTCTGAGCAAGGGAGAGAAGAGGGAGGAAAGGACTAAAAGTTAGAAGAAGAAGAGAGAGGCAATAGAAGGTTCAGCTAGTAGAAGTAGTAACAGGAGTAAAATAAGTGATGGTAGTAGTGCAGGTAGGTGTAGTAGAAGTAGAACCAGAGGTGTTTGGAGCAGTGTTTATATACAGTATCCACACTAAATGCTAAGCAAAGAACAGTAAATCCTCTTTTATGCTCACGGAGGCTGTGCCAGGATAAACAAATAGCAGTAATTGACTACACCAGTGTTGTGTGGTCATGTTCACTGACAATTAAAAAGGAGTCATCAGCAGAAAGGAGGCCACAGAAAGTTGTCAGCTTAACTTGGCTGCTACACGACACCTGATAATATTTGTTCAGTATATGTCATCACTTTGGAAAGCTCAGTGTCCACACCATGAGTGAAAATGCTCTTGTTTTTTGATTCTATTCTCTGTGGAGACCATTTCCAGAAAGCTCAATTTTTAAATGTTAAAAAAAAAAACCATTGGTTTAGTGTAGACATGTCAAATTGGCAAGAAACAGTGCGAGTTTTTCTTCAGGCTTAGCCAAAATGGACGAGATCTTACTAGGGTTACTTTATTTGCCTGCTCAACCACAGATTATACACACAAACATAAATCAGTACACACTGTACACTGAATCAGCGCACTGCAGCCACACACACACACACACACACACACGCACTGTTGTCCTTCTCTGACATTTTCATCCTATTTATCAGTGTTTCACCACGTTCCTCTATTTGGCCTCAGAGCACCAGCTGCTTTGCCCATGGTTTCTCGTATTGTTAGTCAGTTCTCAGTTTAGTCCATCTACAAACGCAGTAGCACCAGGTGACACTTCACAAAACATAACCATGATAAGTCATTAGAGCCCTGGTGATGATCCTACATTCTTTGTAGGAGTCTGTGATTTCAGTTTGCTTTCTTCTTCAAACTTCCATCAAGTTATACTGAGTCTTAACACCTAAATACCAATTCCACTTTTCTTTCAGGGGCCAGAATTACTGAGCAAGTATGTTGGAGAGTCTGAAAGAGCTGTGAGAGAGGTGAGAGCATTTAGCTTTTCTTACCACATGTTTAAAATGACTTGGTTTAAACTAAGCTGTCAACACTGGAGTTGTGTTAACAGAAAATTATACAACCTGACATTTCCTGGCCACCTCATCGTACCAAGGGTGACATTCTAATTCCTGTAATATTTTTAGTGGTTGATGTAATGAACGAATGCCCCGTGTTTTAATGTGGGACATTATGAGTGCTGTATTTCCTGTGTATGTTTGTGCACAGTTCTGATTCATTTGTCCTGTTTTCCTCTTCTCTGTTGTTGCCGGTGCTGCTTGCAGGTGTTTCGGAAGGCGAGGGCCGTCGCTCCCTCCATCGTCTTCTTTGATGAGATCGATGCTCTTGCCAGTGAAAGAGGAAGGTATGTGTTTCTTTGCTTGGAGCCATAGAAAGAGGCCTGGATTTAAATAAAATATGCAATGGGTGACAGAAAGAATGTCAAAGGCAGTTCATTCCCACTTGATAAATATGTTTTTCCTCCTTCACAGTTCCTGTTGATGACTGCTACTGTCCAGCGTTTACTATTTTCGGCACTGTGGTTGTTCATTGTCCAGCGATGACAAATGCACAGTCATCGTTATGGCCTGCTTTAATTTAGTCTGCCCCCACATTTCTCACAAAGATTCACTTATGAATGAACAAACATCCCAAACAGTGTGCATGACTGCACTATCAAAGCCAGCCACTCAGTTCCCATGGAGTCCTCTTAGACTTTTGCGGCTTTTTGCTACCGGCTAACACAGAACACAGTCTTGTCCGGAGGCGCTTTAGTGGGATGGCACTGGGGACATCTGTGGCTTAAAGGAAAGAGGATGGGGGGCGGACAGAGGACACAGACCGGAGGCACACAAACCCTTCATTGTGCCCTTCCACAGCAGATGGGGGAGGCCAAATATGCAGCGTGCTTCCTGGTAAACCAGTCGATGAAACTAAATGTCATACGTGGGGAGCAAAGACAGGCCAACGAGTCATTCGTATAACTTTTCAGATGCTTCAGATTGACTAAGATGTAACATATTTTGACACCTGCAATTTTGTGAATGAGCCACTGATCGTGAAATGTTAGATTCTAAAACAGCACAGCTAGATCCATAAATCTTCTTTTCCATCTCTTCTATTTGAAACCACCACCGCCTGTTACATTTTCTCAGTGCACGTTTTCTTGACAAAGATATTTTGTTTATCCTCATAAAAAAAAATAAATAAAAAAATAGCTTCATGGATATTAATTTGAAGCTAATCCTGTTTAATACACCAATATGCCCCCCCCCAAAAAAATTTAAATGTAATTTCTTTGGCTTCAAAGTTTTTATACTCTTTGAATTGGAGTAATCTAAATTAACACAGGACTGAAGCTAGTGCCATTATTGTAACTGCTTCTGCTGACACTTTCAGAAATATTAAATTTACTGCCACTACTGCTGATGTTAGTGTTACATTGTTAAAAACTATGCAAGTACTACTGCCGAGGGTGAAATATATGGTTGACACACATTGTTAAAACTGTCAAACTACATTCCTGTACTTTACATAGTATATATTTGGTCTTTAGCTTTTTTTAAGGGCAGTCTTCCATTTAGTATATATTTGATCTTTAGCTTTTTTAAGGGCAGTCTTCCATTTTGACTGCACATTACAGCACAGCACAGGCGTCTTCCAAAGAAATCTGGAGCACAGTTTTTGTACTTTGATGCAGCTTTGACTCTATTTCCATTGTACAGGTTATGACTCTTATTTCATCCTGTTCTTGTCGGTCAACTCTGTGCTAGTGGGACTGTCAAGTTCTCTCTGCATTTACAGGATGATTGAGAGTCCCTCTCCTTATCTTGATGTTCAATTTTGTGAATGTACTTTGTGAGAACTGGCTGTGACTCTCCACCCAGCTGCAGCCAGCTTTCACAATAATGCAGCACAGCCTGAGAGTTTGTCAGCTGTGCCTTGAGGCCACTCGACATTTTAAGAATGCACTTAGTGCTGATCTATAAAGGTTATTTATTGGTCTTCACTTCCTGCCATGTTTAATGAATGAAGTGGCTAACACACGTCGGCAAGAATTCAAAGCTGTCGACACAACCAGACGGCCTCTGTTTCATAGTGTGTGTGTTTTTTCCGTCTCGACGCAGGAGATAGGAAGCACCTGTAAATCAGTCAGCCTACCTGCCACGAGTCCAGACTGGTGGAATGAAATGAAGAAGGCAGGAAGAAAGGGAGAATTCAAACAGGGAGGCAGAGATTTACAGATGACAAGAGAGAAAAACAATGTTAATGCTAATAAGAGAAAATTGATGTTTTTCTCAGGATTGACTGAACTGACTGCATTCCTCACAGAGACTCTAGAAAGTCAGAAGGAAGATAATTAAGAGATAAGGCAGAGGGATCACTGGATTAAAAATAATGATAATAAATGAAAGACAGAAAAGCTTTCTCTGTGGATGACGTTCACTCATTGTGACTTTGTCCCTCGTCCTGTCCCCCGCTCCGTAGAGCCTCTTTTTCCCACATCCTCCTTTCTTTCATCCCTCTTTCCACTGCTCACTCTCACCCAACTTTCTCTCATCACCTTTTTTTATTTTTTCTCTCTTTCTCAGATGACTCCTCTCTCTCCAGGTCACTGCTCTGTCCTGCTTTCCCCAAACCTCTTCCCTCCATCTTCTCTCTCCCTTTGTATCTCAGTGACAGAGCCCCTTTGTGTTCCTGTGCGGCCTTGTCTCTCCTAATGATGTCTGGCACTTCCGCTGGCCCTGTCAACAGAGGCTGTGTGCGTTTGTGTTTGAACTGGGAAGGGTGGCTGTTTGCACTGCACCATGGAAAACACCCACCTTGTAATGCCGTGTCTAACGCACTGATGAGTTTTGTAAAACACAGGGCTAATGATATTCTATATACTGTCAACAAATCCTACTATAATTGTTGTTGATGTAACCAAGACCAGGGGCCTGTACCACAAAGCATATCCCACCAGTTCCGGCTAACTTTGGGATCATCTGGCTTCACTGAGCCTCCGACATTAACATGCTCCAGAGCAGGTTAGCTGTGCAGGTTAGCTGTGCAGCATTCTGTACGTTACCATGGTGAGCTAGCCCAATTAAAAGTACTGTCTGACACTGCACTACTAAAATCACAATCAACTTTTGTCTTCCACATTATGTGAAATGATGAATTTGAATCCAGATGAGATACGACATTCCCAAACTTTCCCAGAGTGGCCAAACCAGGGGACATGTTTGTCTAAAGCTGGGCTGCTTTATTTGAGATGCATGTCTTGTTTTCTGCTGTCTTGTTTTGAGATCAGTTCAACAGGACATCATTAGCAGGAAAGTTCACAATTTCTGAGAAGAAGTTCATTGAGGAAAAGAAGAATTGTGCTAATGAAAGAGTTTTCTATCATCTGCCAGCATTGAATCGATGCAAAAGTTTCCTAAAAGTATTTACGAATTGGACAGTTTTCATAATTGCATAATCCTTCTGATATGAGTGATGAATGAGAAGGGTTTGAGGCAAGTGTCCCAGCCATCTAAATCCATCTTGTAATCCTGTCGTTCATCCACACATCAGTCTCATCTCTGTTTCCCTTGCTTTCTATCCCATCCACTCATCTATCTTATGTTCTCATCCACCCCTTCAGCTCCTCGGGCTCTGGGGGGGTAGGAGACCGGGTCCTGGCTCAGCTCCTGACAGAGATGGACGGCATCGAGCAGCTCCAAGATGTCACTGTGCTGGCCGCCACCAACCGGCCCGACATGATCGATAAGGTAAACAGACGCCGGCTCTCTGTCTTTATCTCTCCTTCCACCTCTTTGGTCTGTGATTGATAAGGTTGAGGAAATGTTGTGTGTGTGTCTCTCTTGTCTCCTCCTCTCCCTCCCTCCACTGTCATACATGATTGATAAGGTTAAAGCTCGCTTGCTCCGGCCTGTCTTCCTCAACTCTCTCCTGCTGTTTGGATTTTGGAGTTGTTGTTTTGGTGCAGTTTAGCAAGTGCTAGATAAATTGCGTTTTTATGAAATATATTTGGAGCTTTGACTTATTATTTTGGTTCCTTTGGCTAGGTGCCACCAAAAAATGTTCCTCTCCTCTTCCAAGAGACCACATCTGGGGCTCATCATGACCAAAAAAACAAAGAAATAACTTCAAAACACAAAACCTTTATGGATATAAGGCTATGCGTTCAGCTAAACTCTGATGCATTCACTTGTCCTTCATCTGTTTTTTACCAATTTGCGGTGTCTGGCTCTAGGGATGGAAATGTTGCTCCGTCGGTCAGCCCACCACTGTCCAGGCTGAAATATCCCCACAGCCGTTTAATGAATGACCGTGATTTTTGACACAAAGATTCATGGTTCCCAGGTGATCAATCCTAATATTTATGAGGATGCCTGATGTTTCCTTTAGGACCACCATGAGGCTGACTGTTTTGTTCACTGTTAAATATCTTTAAACTTTTAACAGAGATATTAGCTTGTGAAAGGTTTGGAGCAGGACTGACATCTCTGACCAGCCAGAGATTTTCCGTTATTTCTGCTTGATCAATAAGTTTTGTTGCATTCTCATTTCTTGTAATTTCATTACAACAAATATCTGAAGAGCTGGGCTGAGCGTGGCGAAGCAGGGTGGAGCAGGGAGAGGGGGTGTTGGACGGAGCAGTAACCAAGAGCTGGCAGTTGTTTTATGTCAACTGGTAACTGCTCAGTGCAAATCCAACAGTGCTAGGAGATACTCCTTGGAGAAATCCTCCACATACAAATTTAGGGTAACCCCCTCCCTAACCACACCACCCCCACCCCATTTCTGGCCCATATGTGAGGAAATGATCCATTGCTGTGGTGGAGAAATGACAGCAACTTCCTCCACCTCTACAACCAGCTCATTTACAACTCCTTTATTATTGCATTGGCTTAGAAATAGCCTGAGTGTTTGCATGTATGTGTGAAAGAGGGGACAGATGCACTGTAGGAGGGGGGTCACGCCCCTGAGTGGACAGATGGGAAACCCCAGGCGTCCTTCCACAAGCTGGCCCCCCTCTCAGGAAGTGGTCTCCTGGGCAGCTGAGAAATCAGATTACTCAGCCTGTCGACATCCCTGTTTGAGTGTGGCCTTGTTTTTCTATGCTTGTGGGGTCGGCTAACCTGGAGCACACTGGCATTGGAGCCGGTGTCACTTGTGGGGACCGCAGGCTGATTCCCACAACGTAGTTTGTATGAAAATGAGGCGGTGTAAAGTTAGTGTGTGTCTGTGTGTCTGCATGTCTGCATGGGTGCTTGTGTAGTTGTTGAATTACACTATGAGCTACACTGGAAATGGAGGCTATCAAATGGACAGAGTTCCCCCCACCCCTTACTCTTTCACACCGTGCCTTCCTTTATTGCCCCTTTGCCACTGTTGATGTTGATTGTCAGTTTACACCAGAGATGGGCAGACATTTCCATACCAACAGCAGGATGTGATGAGACAAATGAAGATTAATGGGACACTTTGGTGTCAGTGAAGTTATTGTCAGCTGTTGGTGGAATAGAGGAAGCTCCTGGGGGCCTCAGCTGTTTTATGGACAGAGTGAGAGAGGGGGAAAAGTGCTGTTTACTTTAGTTTGGAAGGAGCAGGTCTGCTGTCCATCTTTCAGCCTTCTGCTACAGCACAGTGTGAATTTCTGTTTCTTATCAAGTCCTTTCTCTGAGTCAGAATGAGGTTGTTTACAGTTATGAAGCAGTGTTAAACTGCATTAATGAAGTTAGTCTGTTTAGTATAAATGATATTCTTTTCATCTGATTATGTCACTATTGTACCTTTCAATATAAATTATGTTTTTAATAATGCTGAAGCTGAACTTGTGCAACACATCCTGTCCTTTTGCATGCAAACGCAGTCCTCCAACATCCTCTGGCTTTTGTATTACATCACTGACAAACATGACCAGAGGCCAGACATGATGTGACTAGTACAGCTGAATCACATCCCAACAAAAGATAACAAATGGATAGTTTTCACACAAGCACACAGAGTACTTCCTCTCACCTTTGTATCAGCGGTGATAAAAGTAATGCACATTATTACTCCAAACCACAATAATGTGCATTTGTAACTTCTCTAACACCATGTTGTAATTGCTATGTATTAAAATGTGTAGCTGGCATATTAGATGCAGTGGCCAGAATAAGTAGGCAATTCCTATGCACAATGACATGTCATCAGACAGCCCCCCCATCACACCTCCTTACGCCCCATTCACCTTAAAAACTTTTCCACTTCCTTTTTCTTTTGTATTGCACCTATCACCCAGGCCCACCTCTGACCTGCTGTGACAGTCTGTGGTGATTGATTAGCACCACCAGGAATATTTATCCAGGAAGAACCCCCTGTCACTCTGTTAGTGGAGCAGCTGTCCATCTAACTGGTTGCACACACAAACACACTCTCAAACGGTCCCATACAACCATTTGCTGTTTTTTTAACTGCATTTTGCGTTGTTTTTGGCTTTCCAGCTTGTTGTTGTGAGTTAGTCCTCAGTAAAGACAGTGTTGGTTTGTTGTTCCACTAAATGGCCTATGTACACAGTGCTTCATCTATGCTATCAGGAGGTAGGGCTACTTACACTGGAGAAGATTGCCAGCAGATGGGTCTTTGAATGGGACCAGAAGTTACCAGCTGGGCTCTTATCAGATCAAGGGGCCAAAACAAAACAGAGGCAATGGAATTAGGGACAGTGTCTGAGAGACTGACTCCACATGCAGTTAACCTGGCTGCAGTGTGGAGAACACAGCGGCAGTGAAGACAAACCCAGCACTTGTCCAAGTGTTTTCTTTTCCTCCACTTTTGTCACTGATGTCATGTATAACACCCAGTCATCAATTCTGAGATAAAAAGACAAGAACTAGTGGCAACTTTTTTATTATTATTAGTTACTTAGAGAATGGAACCACACAACTTACTGAACAAATGTTTAAAGCTGCATTAACTAACTTCTCCACTAATTTTTGCCTGTTAAGGACGAAGAGAGTCGAAACAAGCTCAAGCGGTATCCCCTCCTCTTCTCCCTCCGCTCCTCTATACCCTCCTGTCCTGTTTGTGAAACTATGCCATATGTGGTCACAAAAGCCAGAGACAGTTGTGGCAGTCAGGTAGCGCAGCAGTAACAACCGGCTCCAGAACTAATGTGTACGAAATATAGAGCCCATGGTTTTCTGTGGCATTGCAGCGGCACAGTGTCAAATGAAGAGGTTAACATTTTAGCAGCATGCATACATATGTCTAACGTTGTTTGTTGAAGATGTATCTGCAGTAACAAGTAAATTATACAGAGGAATGTTTTTCCTCTGTATATTGATACAGTGCTAATGTTCCGGCCACTTGCATTCAGTGTTCCATACTTGATACACATAACGTTATAAGGTAACCAAGAGTTTTATGTGAAACAAGAGAAATTTCATGCTGTTCTTTGATAGCTGAACAAACTCCCCACTTTTCTAGTTGTGTTTAGGGTGTAAATTTGAACAGCTTCTCACTAAAATGACACATGGACTGCAGTGCTATATCTGACATAAACTGGACCAAAACCAAGGAAAAATTAGCAAACTGAGCAAAATAACTTCATTTACTAATCCAGGAAATCACGCTGGTTTCTAATAATTGGACAATAAAACATTAATGCTGCAGTCAGTTGGAATGACAATGGATGCAAATTACAACCATAATAATTCAACACAAAGGTACAAAATTGAAAAGCTAACATTAGCTTGCTGATGATGCTGACGTGCACATTAGCCAGCTACAGTACTTGTGCATCTAGCAGGAAGAAAGCTGCATTCATGTCAAATTTTAGTCTTTTGGATGCTTTTAGTGCTCTCCATCTCCAGCATGCCAAGACGATGTTAACACTGGTTTTGTCGCACTCTTTCTGTGCTACAGAATTTTTGGCCTCTTGGGTCTAACGGGTCCGTGCCCATCCTGGGTCGTAGCTGCAAAGGGAGACTTCGTGGTCTGTTTTTGAAATGTGCTGGTTTGAAAAACGCATCTCGTAACCTCTGACCGGCGGGGGCATTGAAGAAATGTGGTGCGGATTTTAACAATGCCTAGAGACGGGTAGAAATATACACAGGGCCTGATGATAGTAGAGTAGGGTGCGGATAAAAGTATTGGTATTATTTTTGTGTTGATTGACTGATTAGATAATGTACACAGCAGTTTTGGCAGTGCTTATTTAGTATGTTAACAACAGTCACTCAATCATCGTTTTCACCACTAAATCAATATTCCTGTACCTTTGTGGTTAGGTGTAATTCAGCAAACCCCAGCCTATCCATCAGATTGTCTGTGGTAACAGTTAGAGCTCGAATAATTTCACTTGGGATTCACCAGTGTTCACTTGAGAACACAAGATCACATCCTGTTCAACACATAAGTGCTTTTAATATTATGTTAGAAATATACTAAATATTGTTAAACTATAACTCTACTGTCAGATCAAGTTCCAGCAGGTTTAAGAACAGAGGCCCACCCACTTACAAATTTCTGCTTTGACAGTGTTACCTGCCTGTTTTACTCATTTTGTTATGGATGAAGTTGTGCCAGAATGTTGTCTGAGTCACTTCACAGCTCCCCAGGCATGTTACCATGCTGGAAGAGTGACAACAAGTAAACGGTTGTAACCACCTTCCTTCCTGACAATACATTTTCTTCCCCAGATTTTTTCTAAAACCATTACTTATATATATATACACACACAACCCCAAATCAGAAAAAGGTGGGATGCATGCTAAAT